GAACTACTTAGAAAGTTACCAACCGGTTCTCCCGAATAGGTGCGAACTGGCTGAATCCCACCACTGTATTAGACCCACTAAAAAAGCTACAGCTTCTAGTGTCGTAACTAGTGTGATTACTGGGCATGGACACAACTGCTGGAAAACAGAAGAATTCTGGGGCCTGTTCTGAACAACGTCCTTCTTATATTGCAATACCACATATCCAATTACAAGGAAGTCAGATGCCATGTAAGTGTGGGACAGCAACTTGCCTTTCAAAATGAGTAAATATTATTTCTTTAAAAAATCCAACTCAGACTTAACAGCATCGGAATCGAAGACTTTCACATGAAGACTTAAAAAAAACAAAACGGGATCGCATTCTGACTGGGAATCAGCCTTTGAACGTTACAATACAGAGACTATAGTTTGGCTGAATACAGTGTACCTTTTGACCCTAAACTCAAATGGACAAAACGCACTGTACTATAGAGCGGTGATGGCAAACCCTTTTGGCACCGAGTGCCCAAATCGGAATGCCTGCATGTGCTGTCCAGGTGATCTTTGGGTTTCTGGCACTCTGGTGCATGCAAAGACCAGGTGGCCGGCACTCAGGCGTGCACCGGAAACCAGAAGAGCAGCTGGTGACGGCGCACGTACACACAAGAGAGCTTTGCGTGCCACCTCTGGCACACGTGCCACAGGTTCCCCATCACGGCTATAAAGAAACGATCTTATGGTGAGTGTGATGGGCTAGTTCCCACAGCACACTAAACCACAACTCCCATACACAATCCCATCAGCAGGGGGGACTCTGTGGGAGACTCAAAATTAATTGAAGGCATAAATGTCAAGTAACACTTGGGATTATCATTTTGCAGGATTGACAACTATTGCTGTGCTCTCAATTGATACTCCATGAGGTTCTGGGCGAGAACGCTAAAACCCCACAAGAAGATTGTCAGGCCTACAGTCATATTCCTTTTAGAATCTTTGGCCTGCCACATGCCCTCTTATTTTACTATGCTGTTTCATTAGTGGGGAATCGTAAGGAGCAGAACGTGTTGTTGTCAAAATAAAACATTCCTTTTTAGAAGCCCAAGGTCATTCTTTGTCTCCGTACCTCTGCTGACCAGAAGTGGATGGGTGGAAATGCCAGCGTGGCAGTGGAAGATTGGACCATATGATGGACTTGTGGTTGTGGGGGCAAGGTTTCGAACTTTCAGCTGGGTGGAAACCCAGGAAGCTTTCAGATTCGGGTTTCCACAGTTTGTACCAACATGTCTCTCTTATTAAATTGGAACTTTGATGAAAGCTATGCCTTGAACTCTGATTTAATTCTGGATGATATTTGGAACGCT